TGGAAAAAAATCAAATCACTGGGATGATGCCCTTTAAGACACCAGCCCCCACCTGCTTTCTTTTTCCCCACCCAATGTGCTCCCCAACATGTGTGCTTCTTCTCCACAGACCCACAGCAACACAGCCAGACCACCATATGCTGAAGTCTCTGACCCCAGGAGCCAAGAGAAATCTTTCTCCTTTTCAGTTGCTTATCTCAGGGATTTTGTCACAACAATAAAAAAAAATTGACTAACATATGCCCTGTATTTTGTGCTTGTATTACTTGCAATAACTGCAGTCTTAGAAACTGAGTTACAACATTATTAGTTTCAACCTGTGAGACTACTCTTGTAATATAAAAAATAATGCAATATAAAAATTTTTAAAAGCAGTTCAAGAAAGAGAGAGTTGTTTGGAGTGAACATCTGTTTTTATTTCATAGACTTTTATTTCTAACAAGCAAGGGAGTACTAAGGCTTATTGCTTATCTTATTGCTTCAGTCATTCACTAGGAAACCAATAAAAATCTTCTGTGGACTTACAGTCCTATAGAGTCAATCTTGTCTTCCCATCTTGGTACAAAAAGTTTCTACAACCATGCAGAACTTGCCTAGACCCACACCTCCTGCTCTACTTCTCCCCAGCACATCATACCCTCTTTTAGTTCAGGCTCCTCTTCAGCAAACAAAACACAACTTAACATCCCTGCACATAGTACTCAGTTATGTAGCATGGCCTGTATAACTTAACATCCCTGCATATAGCACTCAGTAATGGAGTATGGCCTAGCCACCTCTGTTCCTTTCTCTTGAAAGCTCACAATCATGGCTTGTGATGTAATTCAGACTTCCTCACTGAATCCTGCTTGGTTTCCATGGGGATAAGTTAGCTTTGTCTTCCACACTGGTAAATTCCCACCAAACACACTGCTTTTTCTCTGTAGAGCATATATCTGAGCAAAATAGGTTCTTGCCTTTCATCTGGGCATATCTAGTTCTTGACTCCCAGTAGCTGAGACCAGGCCTTAAAATTTGGTCCTTCTAACACTGATAGAAATATATTTAGAGAGTCTCTATTCTTTTTACAGAAAAAAACAAATTCCAATAAGAATAAAGTATAAAACCATCTGACAAGTGTGTATGGAAGAATGAATGAGTAAATTAAGCTGTAAGGAAGAAATGGAAAATAATGATATAAAACTGGAGAGTCTGGGTCAATACAGGATAATCAAAAATAACAGTGATACAGTGACAGAAAAGTGATGCCTGCTAAGAGCTTTAAGGAAAACTACATTCTCCTGGGAAACAGCAGGTAAGGAAGTGAGAGCCTAGACAGACCTAGCAAATTTTGGGAAAAGAACGTAGTCCTGACTGGCTAAAGCCAATTGAACCCGTGTGCCTTGGGAAAGAAAGTGTGCAGAAACATGAGACGATGGGGAGTCCGGGTTACTCAGACACAGCCATTGAACTATAACCCATGGGCAGTGAGAAGCTAATGGGGCTGCTTTTGCTTGTTTAGGTTTTGATTTAGTAACTGAGATTCATGATCCAAGTTGATCTTTACAAGTGTTGCTGTGTCTGGTAGACCAGCATTTCTGAAATTGCACTTCATGGACACTAGCCCTAGTGGGATATTAGAATTCAAACTCTATGAGTCTTTTACTCTCTTGCTTGTTGCTTATGCTCGTGTTCTCTCTTTGTTTTTCCAGGCAAAGGCTATGTTAAGAAAACTACAATAAAATGTATCTTGCATTTCTTAGAACTTTTAATATGGTTACATATATTCTAAAACTCCAAGAGTAAGGCAAAGCATGGGGTGGGATTTTCCTTAAAGATGCTAATGGCTGGCCCTCTGTCCCTTTGCTGACGTACCACATTGTTTCTGCTGGTCCCTCAACCTCTGAGCTTCAGCCTAGGGAAGCTAAGCTACTCTTTTCTTTTCTTGTCATCCACGCAGCTATCACTATTACATTGTCTTCATTTCTGACCTTTCCTTGACAGAACCTTCCTAGGTTGTTGACATGGAGACTCCTCTCAGCATTTCCTATACCACGAGTCCTCCCCTCACGATTCCTGTCCTGATCTGACTGTTTAATTTCCCCTAACTTTTCCTTCTCTATATAGCACATGGCATAGATGCTATATTCTTCCAAATCTTAAAAGAGATTCAACTAGGAACACAACACATTAGTCAAAGTAGTGTCTTTATTCAGGAGTTCCCTGTAGGTAACAACTAACTGTTTGAAATCATTGTTAAGCAAAGGTAAATAGAAACTGTCAGAGACTACTAAGATGAAGGATTTTTGCTTTGAGTTTTTAAGAAATTCTATGTGATAATCAAAAAGACCACGAGCCATCATAAGTATTTCCAACATATAGCAGATGAATTTTATTCCTATCATAATGCTACTCAACTTCACTAAATAGTCTATAAATAATCCTTTCACATGAAATTCTTTTCACTTTCTCTTATTTCTATGATAAAATGATAATAAACTCTAAGTTCCATTTATCTTTTAGTTAAAGCATTGTGCCTATTTCAGCTGTGGCAATAGTTCCCAGGAGATGTTTGACAGATGTGAGAGTGGATGAGGATAACTCTTGCCTTTGTGTTACTGAACCAATGGATGTGGGCAGAGTCTTTAGGTTGTAGGCACAAGTATTTCCCACTGGCTCTGAAGGAGGAGGAAGGGCCACATAGAGTCTAGGAAAAGCTTTACTTTTCTTTAAGTGTGGCATGCTGAAGTGCTTTCTTGAGTCGTTCCCTAGCTACACCCAAGCCACATAGCAGGAAAAGTGACATTGTGTCTTACCTTTCTCACACTATTTAATCTCACTACTCTGTCACAGAGATGGACAGACAGGAAGGAGCAAGTCAGTACAGGAGAAGCTTCTACAGGCAGCCTTACATTGCCGCATGTCCTTGCCTTGCTTTCTCACTTTGTCAGAAATGATCACGGTTCTCTTAGCTTCTAGGAGGCTTAAATAAGTTACAAGTCAATAAATCTGAAGGCTTGAAATGATCGCGGAGATGTGTGACTTGACATGGTTGGTTCAATATGTATTTATTGGTACTTAACCACTAGTATTATTCTCAGTGATAACTTACATTGAGGTAAAAAAACCAAGTTCACTGAACTGGAAATTATTATTTTCTCTAGAGCAACCAAAACAGTATGGTTCCCCACCACCACCCCCCCACAGCAATTTATAGAGCTTGTTCTATGGTATGATGATTCTGTCTCCAATAACCAGTGAAACAATGTAATGTGCACTGTGGTCAACATTGCTACTTTCTAATGCAGAGAACTAGGATGCTTTTTTTGCCTAGATGTTGGCATCTTTAACATAAATACTTTCATTTTATTGCTACTCACAGATAAAATAACTTTTTATTACGCATGCGTGCACGAGCGTGTGTGTGTGTGTGTGTGTGTGTGTGTGTGTGTGTGTGTGTGTGTCTTCACAGGAGTCCTGTAGCACACATGTGGAGAAGGTAGAACAATAGCTTGCTGGAATCAATTCACATTTTTCTTTTTTGGGGGTGGTGGAGTGAGGTGGAGGAAAGACTTTATTTCATCTTACACTTTACAGTCCATGAAGGGAAACCAGAGCAAGAACTCAATGCAGGAATCTGGAAGCAAGAACTGAATCCAAGATCTGGAACTGGCACCACCTGGCTTGCTCAAGTATCTTTCTCATACAGCCCAGGTTCACCTGCTTTGGGACAGCAATGTCTGCAGTGGGACCAGTTCTCCTACAGTAATTAACAACCAAGAAATCGGCCCACAGACATGGCCACAGGCCAATCTAATGCAGGCAACTGAAATTCCCTCTTACCAAAGTAAGTCTAGGTTTGTGTCAAGTTTGACAAAATAAACCAGCAATCCATTCTCTGAATGTAATTCACATTGCAAGCAATATCCTTCAAAACAGTGGTTGCTAACCTTTTGCTATTACAAATAGTCACTTTTCAACACATTGGTCCTCAAATTACCAGTGTCCTCACCATGTGCCTATACCTGATGACCCATCTCACCAGTCCTAAAATAACTCTTAAACTTGTTTAAAATTAACTTAAGCTTCTTTATTAATACTCATTGTGAAAATAGGTATCTTGACTATTACTTATTTAAGTTATACTATTATATATTATAATAT